TTATGGATTGTAGATTTTCCTCTAGGCTTCGTATCTTTGCCATTCATCTTCATTCCTCCCAACATCTCCCCCTTCTTTATTTTGTTGAAGAGCAGCGGTATTGGCTTGGATGGAATTTAGTAGCAACTTCCGTAGACGTAAAACTAAACATGGTAAAATGGTACAAAGAGAGATCAAACCGAAAAGGGATAAAATACATAACATAATAAGTTTTTTAGACCAACTGGGTAAATTTGGTAATTGTATCCAATCAAAGAGGCTGTCGAGGCTTCCTTCTTTGTCCCGATGAATTTCTCCGACCAAACTTTTCAGCTGGTTGATACTTTGGTGAATTGACTCAGAATGATCGGAGAAATTCATACAGCACATTCCTTCAAATTCTTGGCACCCATGGCCGTGTGCCAAGAGAAGGAAATCAATGGCAGCTCGATTCTGTAAACTAACCTCTTTTAACTTTTGGGTGTCTTCGAGCAGGCCCTCAATCGCCCAAGTGGTGGCATTTGCCTCCTTGGTCAACCAGCAACCCAGATGTGTCAGGAGAGAGAGGGCATGCGCGGTCCCTATCCTGGGGACAGGAAAAGACGCCCAAAAGTTTTTGACCCTAGACCAGATATGGATATTGGAATCACAATCCTCTGGGAAGGGCAGAGGTGTGGGCCAATACTGAGGTTTTCCAATATTCAGATGTGGCGCAGGGAGAGAATTTTGGAGCCGAATTGGTTGGGGAGTGATTTTAGGTTCCAATGGGGGTTTTGGGACAGCGGGTTTGGATCCAGGAAACCGGAGGGGAGCACCCATCGCAAACGAGAGGGATCTTTTAACTCGATCTTTAGAAAGTACCAATTGATTTTCTAAGTGGAACTTCGCTGGGTTAAAAAGGGCTAACTTTCCTACTGTGCAGGGACCCCCTTCCGGGTAGGCTCGAATTCCGGGCCACGCCTGATCCCCACACAGCAGGAAATATCCCTTTGGGAGTTTCATGTTTCTTGGAATATGCTCTGTTGGAACGGTGGTCGCTATCAAGCTATTGCACCACGGCGAAGCGGTCCCTCTATAGATGGGCTTGTACGGGGTTACATCAAGGGTTTTAAACAAAACTGGTTTGGTGTATCTATGGAAAATAACACAGGTTGTGGAGGGTAACGAACCAAGAAGGTCAATTTCTTGAAAGGGGATGTCTACGAAAGTGAGCGCGGAGATGGTTTGCGCTAAATTGGGGGAGTTGAGCGGTAGGGGTCCCTTTATCCGCGTTTGGGACACAAACGCGCTCCATTTGGGTGGGGTCATGGGGATCCCTACCAGGCATGTTTTAAATGGATTTCCCGTGCTGGTCAAGGCCAGGCACAGGGTGTCTGTGCCAGTGGCCTTGGCCAGCGTTACCCACAAATTTTCTGCTGGTTGGTTCATCCATTCCTTTAATGGCACGGCTGTAGTTTGATGGACGAATTCAACCAAGAGAATCAGGAGGAGATGGCGAAATGGCAGCATGGATGTTCTTTTCTGCGTTTTTCTTCTCTTAGCCTTGGTAGATTTTGATCCGTCGAGCGGGGACCCACTTCGGTCCTTCGGAGCCTGCAATACACGCGTAGCCCTTCCCCCAGGTAATTAAGGGGAAAGGGCCCGTCCATTTCTCTGTTAATGGATCTCGATACATTACTCTTGCTTTTTGTTCTGATAAAGCTGAAGAGATTGTTCTGAAGTGGCGATCTACAGGACTTTTGCTTAAGTGAGTGTCCGTTTCCTCCATCATATTTAAAAAATTTAAAACATACATTACTTTTTCTAACTTTTCTTGGGGGGACAGGCCAATACTCCCCCCTTTTTGTTTTTTAAGCAAATTTTTTACATTTTGGTGTGCACGCTCCACTATACCCTGCCCTGTGGGGTTATGAGGGATCCCGGTGGTATGTTGTATCCCCCATTGTTCAAAAAACTTCTTCGTGTCTGCAGACACATAGGAGGGTCCATTATCTGTTTTGATCTGTTTGGGGACTCCCATCCTTGTGAATGCAGACAGGAAGTGTTTTTTGACATGGCTACTCCTTTCTCCAGGATGCGCAGTGGCTACAATCATTTTAGAAAATGTGTCAATAGACACGTGCACATATTTTAGCTTTCCGAATTCGGCCACATGGGTGACATCTGATTGCCAGATTTCCAGGGGTGATAAACCTCTTGGGTTTGTTCCCTCCAGAATAACAGGTGTAAATGTTTGGCAATCAGAGCACAATTTTAAGATTTCTTTTGCTTGTGACAATTTTAAGCCAAATTGCTTTTGTAGTGACCGCGCATTCTGGTGAAAAAATTCATGTGAAAGTTTTGCCTGTTGATACAAATTGGGGGTTACAGCCATACCTGCCAGATGGTCGGCGATTTGGTTCCCCTCTGCTACAGGACCGGGTAGAGCTGTGTGTGACCGGGTGTGGACAATGTAGTATTCAAATTCTCTTCTCTCTATAAGAAACAGTAATTTGGTTAATAAACTAAATAGAATCTGATTAGTTACATCTTTTAGATATGAATTTTCAATTCTTTTGACCACACCCACTACATAAGCCGAATCTGAAATTATATTTATTGGTTCACCACTGAAAATTTCAAAGGCCCGCACAACTGCTGAGAGTTCTATTATTTGGGGAAAACCCTGTACTTTATGGATGTCTTGGTGCCAATCATCTTTTTCTTTCCAAACTATTACTGCATTGCCTGTCCTCCCCGAGCCATTGGTAAAAATCATTTTTGCATTTTTAATAGGTAACTCTGATTGCATAACTTTCAATTTTATCGGAATCTGGACTAATCTCTGTATGAACGGGCACGCCGGGAGGTGTAGTCTGATTTCTCCTGGGTATCCCCCGATGGCAATTTGAAAATCAATAGAGGTCTGCAGCAGTTGATCTAGATGTTCAGAGGTCAGTGGGAGATAGATGAAATTTGGTTCTTCTCCACTGAGCTCTAAACACCTAGTGCGACCTTTGGATATTATTTTGCCAATCATTTCAACCATAGTGGTGATGGTTTTGCCAAATTGGTGAGGGAGGAACATCCACTCCCATAAGCAAAAGTCTCTATAGTCGCCTGTAAATTGGCCCAGAAGGGCTAAGGGTTGACGTTGTTCTCTGAGTACAACTAAAGAAGATGGTAGCCCCTCCATCTTCTGGAATGTTTGTCTCTCTGTTATCTTTTTCTCGACAGTGGTAAGGGCTTTTATTGCATCTGATGTTAAAATTCTGGGGGAGGACAGATCAGCGTCTCCTTTCAGCAGCTTGAAAAGGGGGTGCAAATCTCCTGTTGTGATCCCCAGTACAGGTCGGATCCAATTGATCGAACCCAGCAGCTTTTGGAGGTCATTTAAAGTGCGGACTCGTCGGTCAATCTCAACTGTCTGAGGCTTTATGGCCTTCTTGGTAATTTGGAGTCCTAGATACCTCCAAGGTGCTTCCCTTTGCACTTTTTCAGGGGATATCTCCAATCCTTTGTCTTTTAGGGCCGAAATTGTTGAATTTAGAGTTTTGTCTACTGCCGATTGGGATTTGGCGCAGATCAATACATCATCCATATAATGGAAGATGATTGACTGCGGATACTTCTGCCGAATGGGTCTCAACACCTCTGCCACGAACATCTGGCAGAGTGTTGGGGAATTTTTCATCCCCTGGGGAAGCACCCGCCACTGGAACCTGCGGTGAGGTTCACAAGCGTTGACTGCAGGGACAGAGAAAGCGAATCTGACCGAATCAGCCGGATTGAGAAAAATATGGAAGAAGCAGTCCTTAATATCAATGACCACTAGGGGCCATTCAGCAGGGAGCATGGATGGTGAAGGCATTCCCTGCTGGAGGGCTCCCATTGGTTCAAGGACCTCGTTGACTTTTCGCAGGTCCTGGAGAAATCTCCAGGAACCTGAGGATTTTTGGATGACAAACACTGGAGTGTTCCAGGGGCTGGTGGAAGACTCCAGGTGTCCTTTTGCCAATTCTTGATTCACTAATTCGTTCAAAATTTGCAGCTTTTTGTATGGTAGGGGCCACTGATCAACCCAGACTGGCGTATCTGTCTTCCAGCTCAGTCTGGGGAGCTGCAGAACTTCAGTGACCCCACCTAAAAATTTTCTTCTGGAGACAGGGTTCCTAACTTCAGTTCCCACTGCTCCATTGCGTTCCGTCCCCAAAGTGTAACCAGTATATTGAGTACATACGGTTGGAGCGTCGCTGGTCTGCCCTCCGGCCCATAGATGGTAAGTACCTCCCTGCTCCTGACGGGGTACTGGGTTCCCCCCACGCCACTGACTCGGACGTACGCAGTTTGGGCTGGCCACCCGTGTGGCCAGTCCCTGGAGGCTATGATCGTGACATCCGCCCCCGTGTCGAGGAGACCCTCCACTTTGACCCGCTGCGGCTTCCTTGGCTGTGAAAAGTAGATGAAACATGTTAGGAGAGGGCGAGAGGTTTTAACCGTCGTGGTCCAGAGGACCTCCTTCTGTGATTTTTGCCTCTGCTCCTCATCCGCGGACAGCACGCACAGCAGGTCTTCAGTGGAGACCATCTTCGCCACGGGGAAGCGGTCCTCCAACTGCACGGGGGGAAGATGAACAGTTAGACATATTGCAATATTAGAATGTGTCAACCCCGTCAGGAGAGTAGGCACCACTACGATGCCTTTACCAACTGCCGAGAAATGAGATGTTACTAAATACGTCAGGTCTGGATCGACCGGGGCCGATGGTGTGACCCTGGCCAATTGTTTGTAAGAACTGAGGTGAGTAGAAGGGTGGATAATGCTTAGGATGTTCCAATTTAGGGGTTTGCATTGTTCCCCCATGGGAACCGGGTCTGCCGGAGGTAGCCGGACTACGGGGTAGCTGGGCGCGGTGTTTGGCGCAAAATGGAGCGCAAGTGGGGGGCAACTTGTGTCATCGCGCCCCCCCGGGTGCTCAGCTCCCCGTTTCCCGACGGCTCACATGAACACTGCCTCAAGTCCGGCATAGATGAAAAGGTGACTCATTTTTGGAGCTTTGGTGATCTCTTGGGGGAAAGGGGTTCGCCATTGATGTTGGTTACTGAACGACAACTTGAGGTCCAGTGACGTCCCTTTCCGCATCTACGACACAGAGTATTAGGCAGATTTGGCTCTGATTTAAACATGGGGCAATGCTTTTTAAAATGTCCCTTCTCACCACATTCGAAGCATCGTTGGGGACCTGAGAGAGCAGCGGCCATTATACGTGCTTTATGGGCATTGGAACCTACGTTTTTACACACCTCTATAATTTCCAGCAGCGTGGGATCTTTTAACATTTTTAAAACTCTCTGGCAGTCTTCGTTTGCTTTTTCTATGACCAATTTATTGAATAGGATCTCCTGACTTTCTTTTTGATGTACCTGCCGAGCAATTGCTTCTTTGAGCCTAGTTATAAAATCAACAAATGGCTCCTTAATACCCTGATTAATTAGCGTAAAAGAGGGCGCTTGTACATAGGCGTCTGCCACTCTTTTTACCGCTTCCAATGCCAATTCTTTTGTCACATTTAACAATTTGGGGTCAAGACGTGTCTGATCCCCTCTGCTGGAATAGTTCCCTTCCCCATAAAGCATGTCTACGGCTTGTCTGATAGGAATCCCCCTTCTTTCCATTTTTTCGTTTACAAAGGTCACAATACGTTTTTTCCACTCCGCTTCGAATACGGAGGCTTGAACTGTAGTAAACAACCCCCCAATAACCGCTCGGATGTCATATGGAATGAGGGTGTATGCTAGGAAGAAGGAATCCAACAGACCGATGGTAAAAGGAGCCCCTAACCCGTACTCAACAATCGCCTTTTTGATATCTTTTAACATAGGGTAGGAAACCGACCGCCACTCAGGGGGCTTTCCCTCCTCGTAATATACTGGAAAGGCTTTTAAAAATTCAACGTCCTTTGCGCACGCAGCCTCCTCCCTAAAGGCTTCCCAAATGTCCGGGACAGAGGGTTGCCTCTCAGGGGAGCGTGGCGCCCAATCATAGTCCGAATCTAGTTCGCGGCAGGCGGGGTAGGCCTTGGTGTTAGGTGGCCTATGGGCGCGGCCATTTTTGCGGAAGGAGAGTTTGGCCTTTGCCCTTGCCCCGCCCACCACTTCCTGTCCCTTCCGGATGGGCAACACATCAGGGGAGGAGACAGGAGTGGCGGAAGTAGGTGTAGACGGAGGCGTGTTGGGGGAGGGACTTCTTGCGCCACGTGTGGGAGGAGAGGGAGGCGGCCCGAGGGGTGGAGCTACAGGGGCCCGCCTCCTCTTTTCCCGTGCTGGTCTTTCGCGCGCTTCACCCTCCCCCCTTCTCTCTTGGCGATCCCGGGGTCCCTCCTCCTCGACGCCATTTTGCGTTCGACGCGATCTCCTCCTCGGAGCCCTCCCGCCATCTTGTGATGTGCTGTCTGTCTCCGTCTCCCTCCCGCCATTTTGTGTGCCTTTAGTGTCCATGTCCTGCTTGGTGTTTTCAGTGTCTTCTGTGGGGAGGCTGATATTCTTGTTCATCATTTGGTGCTGTAGCACCATCAGAACAAGCCTCCATGCAATCAAAGCTTGCTTGGCTAGTCTGTCGCCTTTATCTGCATCCCGCCATAGGTTATAACCTAAGGCTTGCCATTTTTCTAGCTTGATGTCATCTGCTATAGGGCAGCCTTGGCGGTCCAGCCACCTAGCTAATGCTTTAGCGGACTTCTTGTCAAGTGGGTGGCCGTGTTCTATGACGAAGTCCTTTAGGCGACGGTACACGAATTTTTGGGAGGTCGAGAGTGTCAGACCCATGGTGTTAATCGAGTCGCACTCTCAGATGTTACTCCTCCCTTTTTAAATTTTTCGTTACGGGGATGTGGTGTGGGGTGAAGGTAGTGGGAATGTCCCCTGCGGCTCACCTTGTCCGGTGTGCGACTCGTGCGACCGAAGGAGTCCACAGTCGTCTGCTTCACAGGGGAGGGTCGGCGGAGCAGTCTCCCGTCTTGGAGATGCCTGAGCCCAGATGGTGACACAGGAGTTCTCTTGATTCAAGAGACCTCCACTGTGCCCCACGTTGGGCGCCACTTGCCACGACCCGCGGGGAAAAAGGAATGGGGTCGAGCACTGCAAAGAAGGGTTCTTGACACAGTGGAGGTCGAGGTGCAATGCCAAAGTTTATTGAGGGAACAACAACTTATATAGGGTAGGTTTGAGGGTGGAGTTTGGACTAGGGAGGAGCAAGAGACTGACAACTTGGGGATAAAGGTGATTGGATAACTGGGTAAAGAGGGGAGGAGTTTGGGTGTGACTTAAGGGAATGGACCAATGACAGCTACCTCTGCACTGCACCAAATACTGACCAATGGCAGGCAGAGGAGCAGGAAAACAGGGAAAAGGCGGGAAAACTGAGGGGAGAAGAAGAAGACAACATGGAGGACAATTTAAAAAACAACAACTGGGGGTATACAGAAACATACTACAATATAACAATAAACTGGGGAGAACTGGGGTGAAACTGTCACATTCGTGGGGTGTCACATTCGGTATAAATGAGTCAAGTCCAGCATATAAGTGTCCATTTATGGATTGTAGATTTTCCTCCAGGCTTCGTATCTTTGCCATTCATCTTCATTCCTCCCAACAGACGTGAGTTCTCAAGAGAATGTGAAAGACAACCTCTAAGTGAATTAGAGTGCCATTACTGTGGGGAAAAAGGACACATAAGAAGAAACTGCAGAAAAAGGCTGCAGGATGAGTAAATTTTTAAGGAAGAATGAAGAAGTCAGGGGCTCTACCTGCTGGGGACCCAAAAGAACACCGAGCCCTTGATAAAACTTAAGATAGGTCCCCAGCAACAAGAACTCGAGTTCCTAGTGGACTCGGGGGCAGAAAGATCAACTGTTCAAAAACTACCCTGGGGCTGTATGGCTTCATCAGACACAGTCCTAGTGGTAGGGGCTAAAGGAGAACCTTTTAAAGTGCCTCTTATTAAAAATGTGGAAATAGAGGCCCAAAACAAATACGCGTTAGGAACATTTTTGTTAGTTCCTGAGGCTGCGTATAATTTATTAGGAAAAGATCTGATAATAGAATTGGGAATAAATCTCGAAGTAAAAGAGCAGAAAATACAAGTTAAAATATACTCCCTCACAGAGGAAGATGAAAAGAGAATAAATCCTGAGGTATGGTATACCTCCGATTCTGTGGGAAAATTAGATATAAAACCGTTTGAAGTCTCTATTCGGAATCCAGGGGAACCTATAAGAGTGAAGCAATATCCTATCCCAAATGAAGGGAGAGTTGGACTTAAGCCCACCATAGAACGACTTTTAATGCAAGGATTGTTGGAACCATGTATGTCACCCCATACATAATACATCTATTTTGCCAGTAAAGAAACCAGATGGGTCTTACCGATTAGTGCAAGATCTAAGAGAAGTAAATAAATGGACAATTATCCGGTTCCCAGTAGTAGCCAACCCCTATACTTTATTAAATCAGCTATCCCCTCAACATAAATGGTATAGTGTAATTGACTTGAAGGACGCTTTTTGGGCATGTCCTCTTAAAGAGGACAGCAGAGATTATTTTGCTTTTGAATGGGAAGACCCTGACTCTCATAGGAATAGCAAAAAGAATTCTTGAGGGATGTTTAACTTGTCAAAAATTAAAATAAAAGACAATTGAGAGAAAAAGTCCAGGGAGTACGAGAATTGGCTAAAAGACCTTTTGAAAAGATACAAGCAGATTTTACTGAATTACCCAAGGTAGGGAGATAGCAATATTTATTGGTTTTAGTCGATCATCGTAGTCATTTTGTTGAGGCTTTTTCTGTTGCACCGTGCACAGCCAAAACAGTAATAAAAATTCTGTTGGAAGAAATTATCCCAAGATATGGTATTGTGGCAGTGGTGGATTCAGATAGGGGAACACACTTTACCTCTAAAATAATTAAAGAAGTGATGGAACTTTTTGGAACCAAATGGGATTACCATACCCCTTGGCATCCACAGAGTTCTGGCAGAGTAGAGAAAATGAATGGAGAAATAAAAAGGCATTTGACCAAATTAATGATAGAAACAAAAATGAATTGGGTAAAGTGTTTGCCTTTAGCTTTATTACATATTCAAACCCAGCCACGGACAGATACAGGAATTTCTCCTTTTGAAATGATGTATGGAATGCCATATGACTTTGGGACTCCCATAGAAAATCCAAAAACAGAAGATACTCTTTTAAGAGAATATATTATTGAATTAATGAAAAGGAGAAAAGAATTGAGAAAGAAAGGGATGGTGGTACAGAGACCCCCTTTAGATATGACAATACGTACGTTTCAGCCTGGTGACTGGGTATTAATTAAAACGTGGAAAGAGTCCTCATTAACCCCTTGCTGGGAAGGACTTTTTATCGTTCTCTTAACCACAGACACGGCAGTCCGAACGACCGAAAGAGGGTGGACTCACACCTCGCGGGTCAAGGGACCAGTAAATGCTCCCAAGTGGACAGTGACTTCAACGCCAGAGGACCTCCGAATGACAATACAAAGGACAAGGCCAGTAAATGAATGACTATGAAAGTGATGTAAAATCCAGTCTGTATCAATTCTTCCAGATACCCCCCGAACAAAAGCTACCGGAAGTTCATTATTCATCGTGGAGAGAGGAAAGAATTCCTAATCAAACTGGAGGATCTGGACTATATAAAATAATTGGGACACCTATTGTATTACCCTTTTGTTGTGAACTAGAAGTTGATTTCCCAGAACCTCCTAGTCCCCTCGAAATACCTTGTGTTAAACATCCCTATCTTGGTCATTTTAGTTGTTTGATTTGTGAATGCATAAAGTGTAATAGGCAGTGGCGTTGTGTTTCACTTAAGGGAAATCCACATTGCCCATGCTGTAGAAGAAATAGAACTGAAGATATAGATTGGAATGGATCTGGCAGAGAATTGTTAGCCAAAGCAAAAGACCACAAAATATTTTGTGGGTGGGAATTATTAGTACCTGAGACATGGGAAATATATGAAGCCGATTGGGAGGCAATATTAGAAAGGTGTCGTTCAAGGTTTTCCTGGAAATTAGGAAAATCAGGCTGGAGAAGATATTTAGGGTTGCAAGGGGTGCTTGACAAATTTAATAATTATAAAATCTCCTCCTAAGCGTAGGAGAAGTTCCAATTTTTTTTTAAGAAATAAAACACATGGGCAATGCATGCATAAAAATATGGAATAAACCAAGAAATAGCCTGAGACGGTGGAATAGAATACGGGAAGTATTTGAAATTGAGGTACATTTCACAGGCATACCAAAGGCTACTCAATTAGAAGATATTAGTGGAAGTTTAGCTGATTAGAAATTGAAGCCCAAGTTCAGAGACAAGAATTGCTTGCTATAATAGAATACCATATAAGGGGTTTCATAAAGGAATTAGAAGAAAAAGGTATAGAGTTAGGATATAAGCCTTTAGTAATATAAGATTTTCTTAGGTGGGCTCCAGTCTGGGAACATGATCAGTGGGAAAAGTGGTACATTACTGATGCCCGAAAAGCGAGACCTTAATTTCCTAACTCACACATTAAAATACAAAACTTCTATTCCCAGTTGCAGTAAGTTTGGCAAATAAACTAGCATTTCAAGTTCTAATCAGTGGCAGAGAAATATTACAGGCACACTCCTGAAGAATATCTCTGCTGCCAAGAAGATCTAATACCCCGTTGCTCCTTGCAAAGGAGTAGACGAAGGGAAGGCAGAGAGGTAATACGGTGGAGTTGATTTGCCTGTAATTGATACCACTGATATTGAAAGATTAAAATGGCCAAACTCCCTGTCTTTGTCGCGATCCTGATATTTGTGAGAATTACGGTGGGAAGTTCTCACCAACCGTGGAAATGGAGCATTATCCGGTTAGATGACATGAAGATTATTAAGGAATTGGTAACTACAGGTACCCCTAAATTTCAATTGAACAATTGTGAACTAGTAAAAGAAGTACAGACTCATTGTAAAATTTTTCAACGAAAATATGAATAGCAATATAAAGAGAGAACAGTCTCCCATGTTAGAAGCAGCGAGAGAAGTTGTCGCAAGATTTGACGAGCAAATTTATGAATAAATAAAAAGGGGGGAACTGTAATGAGTAAGCAATGATAAAATAATTTACTCGTCAAAATACATATATTGTACTTTCCGTATATTATAGCTAATGCTTTGTTGGGACTGGGGAGTTGTTAGCTGCAGAATAGTTAACTGCTGTGTTACTATTATAAGTTGACTATCCTGCAACTGGCAGTTCCCTAGTTGGCAAGATAAAGTATTCTACTTTGCTGAGCACGTATACTATATCCTGTTTTTCTAAAAATATTGTCTAAGTGTACTCATTAGAAAAGGAAGAAGAGAACAAGGATCAGGGAGTCAAGGACAAAGATGATAAAGAAGAGCCAAAGAGAACATCTGGATACCATTCCCATACCCAGCTCCAAGGACATTAGAACTAATTAAAACTACTGATGGGAAGTACCTGGCAATTAAAATGGGCCTACAACAGAACCAACCAGAAGGAAGCCCGCGAACTCAAGCCCAATGAAGAGCTAACAAGTGACTGTGGGAGGGGAGTTGAAAAAAGTATAAAAGTTACTGTTTGTCTCTGTTGAGCTTGCGGGCCGTTGGAGGAGCAGAGGTCTCTCCAGGCCGCCCAGCGTGCTGATTTGCTTATTTGCACTTTATATAAATCTTGTAATAAAAATTGCTGCTATATTTTGATTTGGTTTATTTACCTATAAAAAAAAAAAAAGTGAGCAAAGCAGTATCT